AAAAGTCTCTATGACTAAGATGGTGCAACTCAACAGTACTAATAGATTAAGGAAACTTTTTTTTTTTTGAGACAGAGTCTTACTCTGTCACTCAGGTTGGAGGGCAGTGGCACAATCTCAGCTCACTACAACCTCCGCCTCCCGAGTTCAAGCACTTCTGCCTCAGCATCCTGAGTAGCTGGGATTACAGGCTCGCATCACCACGCCCAGCTAAGTTTTGTATTTTTAGTAGAGATGGGGTTACACCATGTTGATCAGGCTGGTCTCGAACTACTGACCTAGTGATTTTGCCTCGGCCTCCCACAGTGCTGGGATTACAGGTGTGAGCCACTGCACCCGGCCCATAGTCTTATGTAAATTAAACAATATTTTACTTAAATGTTTTTTCCCTACAGTTTTCTGTCCAAATTAAACTTACATAATTCATTTTGCATATTATCCCTTGTGCCACTTCTGTGTGTAAACTGTGTGTCCACATTGAATTTCTCTAAGTCTAATAATCATGCTCATTAACTCAGATTATAAAATGAAGTATGAAATTTGTTTGTTTTTCTTTTTGATAGAGTCTTGCTCTGTTGCCCAGGCTGGAGTACAGTGGCACCATCTCAGCTCACTGCAACCTCCGCCTCCAGGTTCAAGTGATTCTCCTGCCTCGGCCTCCCCAGTAGCTGGGACTACAGGCGCCTGCCACCACGCCTGGCTAATTTTTGTATTTTTAGTAGAGACAGGGTTTCACCATGTTGGCCAGGCTAGTCTTGAATACCTGACCTCAAGTGATCTTCACCTGCCTTGGCCTCCCAAAGTGCTGAGATTACAGTTTTTTCTTTTAATTGAAGAAATTTGGAATATGAACACCAGGGCCAAATTTATGTGGATTATCGAGAAACTTTGATATAATGGTTTCTTTCATTAAGCAAAAAGCCCGCTAATTTGCACAGTCTGGTTGGCATTCAATAGTTCATTAATATGAATTATATAGCACAACATATATTTGTCAACATGTATTTAAGCCTTATTTACTCTTATTAATAAACTACGTAGTACAGAGCATGTTTCCAAAGTATAAAAAAGGAAGCATTAGATCAGCTGATGGTACAAGTTGATTCACTTACAAAATTAGTGTGGTTTTAAAAAATTCAAGAGCTACAATGTAAAAATAAGTAAAATTATATACCTTCAATTAAGCTAAAGAAACCAAAATTAATCTCTTACCTCAAAAGGAATAAGTCAAAAAAACTTTTTAAATTCTAATAATGAAGGATGTAGAATGAAAATAAAGCTACAAAGAAACACGACCCACTGGAGGTAAGATGGCCTTGCCATTTTCACAGACTAATATTAAACCTAATTTTGACCCAGCCACAATTCAAATGCCAACAGAGTAACAGCAGAGTATTGTTTGTCCTAATGTTCAAATTTTTGCCAAATTATCCGTTAAGAGGTAAAATGTTTCCCTTAATTTTCCCTTTCAAGCTTCTCAACAAATTTAATATTTGTGGGCCACATCTTCATGTAACTGAACTCATACAAAGAGAAAACCACACAATAATATCAAACTGAAAATTATATTTTATGCAATGTCCATAGAAAAAAATCATCCAGATACCTATGAATGATGGGATAAGCAGGAAAATCCCATTGGCTCTTTTTAAGTGTTTATGATTATGCACAGCAGAAAAGCATTATGGAAGCTCACAAGCTAGCTGAAGTAAGAAAAAACATGACTTTCACAGCCTTCAGGAGGGGTATCTCAAGCACAATCCAATCCTAATCAGTTGCTTCAAAAAAAAATCCAGGCCAGGCTTGGTGGCTCACGCCTGTAACTCAACACACTGAGAGGCCAAGGTGGGAGGATCACTTGTGTCCAGGAGTTTGAGACCAGCCTGGGTAACCATCGCGAGATTCCATCTCCACAAAAAGTTTAAAAATTATCCGGGCATGGTGGCCCGCGCCTGTAGTGCCTGCTACACGAGAGGCTGAGATGGGAGCATCTCTTGAGCCCAGGAGTGTGAGGCTGCAGTGAGCTATGATCGCACCACTGCACTCCAGCCCCAGCAACAGAGCAAGACTCTCCACCCTCCGCACACAAAATCCGACTGTTGAAAATAATTCTACATAACTAACCTGTGGAAAAGGGTATATTAAAAGTACTAAAATTTTTCAGGCCGGGCGCAGTAGCTCACGCCTGTAATCCCAGCACTTTGGGAGGCCAAGACAGGCAGATCACCCAAGGTCGGGAGTTGAAGACCAGCCTTACCAACATGGAGAAACCTCGTCTCTACTAAAAGTACAAAATTAGCCAGGCGTGGTGGCACATGCCTGTAATCCCAGCTACTCGGGAGGCTGAGGCAGGAGAATTGCTTGAACCCAGGAGGCGGAGGCTGTGGTGAGCCAAGATAGCGCCATTACACTCCAGCCTGGGCAACAAGAGCAAACCTCAGTCTCAAAAAAAAAAAAAAAAAAAAAAAAAAAAAATTCACTTCTCACTAAAAATAAACACTTCGATACTCTTATATATTCTCAAAATACTTTGGTTTCCACCTTCGCACACTTTGTTTTTAGGTTCCCCTACTCCCCAAATTTAAAGGTAACATCCAAATCTGCCAAAGTCTGCACCAGAACAAATACTGTATCACTGACCACATCCCTAGGAATTAAGTTCCTTAAGGGTTTACATTCAACAAGGTATAGAGTCACATCTTGTATAACTTTGTATCCTAAAGAACACTTGGTACAACACCCTGGATGTATCAGGAGCTATTAATATTTACTAACTCAAAATATAGTCCTTCATCACTTTGCAGTTCTGTTCTGTGCTCCTGAAACAAAACTGCATAAACTCTGCAAAACTCAAGGGACCTAAATGTGACAGAAACTTCACAGAATTCCTTATTATTTTATAGTTTACAGTCTTGTAGCCTTGCCCCTATTACCAGATGTAATGCTTTTTACTGACACTAGTATAGTGGGGTAGGAACAGATCTAGACAAAAGTGGACATCAGAACCTGTCAAAGGGGTTTAAAATTTATATTTTACATACCTATCCTTCATTAGCGTTATGTAACATTAATGTTCTAAAGTCAGTTATCTGTAGCAACAACTTAAGAGTTTTTCAATCTAATTCCCAGGAACATAAATGAAAACTGGTGCCAATAAAAAAACAAGCAAGCAAGCAAGCAGAAATGCTGCCTTGAATTCTGACAAAAAGGTAAGGATAGTTTACACCAACGCAATGAAAAATAAGCCTTTGTGTAGTCTATAAGAGTTTTTGAAATTGTTTCACTAAAGTCTTTAAAAGTGCCGGGCGCGGTGGCTCACGCCTGTAATCCCAGCACTTTGAGAGGCCGAGGTGGATCACTTGAGGTCAGGAGTTTGAGACCAGCCTGGCCAACACGGTGGAACCCCGTTTCTACTAAAAATACAAAAATTAGCCGGGCAAGGTGGCGCGCGCCTGTAATCCCAGCTACTCAGGAAGCTGAAGCAGGAGAATAGCTTGAACCCGGGAGGCGGAGGTTGCAGTGAGCCGAGATCACGCCACTGCACTCCAGCCTGGGCGACAGAGCAAGACTCCATCTCAAAAAAAAAAAAAAAAAAAAATCTTTAAAAGTCAAAGCAAACTGGTAAACCATTAGCGAAACCACAAGCTACCATGAAAAGATACACAAAAGTATCTGGCAACCAAAGTCTAGAGGTGGTTCCAGAGTGTGAAAGGTTTTCTGATTGTTAATAAACTCCATTATGCACCCAAGATATCTTCACTTAGCTGTGTCATTTCTAAAAAGGCAACAGAGCCCAGAAGTTTCAGTGAGCCAGTCCTGGCAAACTCAAATTATGAAAAAATATACCCTCTGCTTAAAGATTAACTACAAACCTACCCTGGGACCAGCTTGCTTCAGTTAAGTTTAAAATGGTGCCTAAATTGAAAGGAAAGCCTGTAGCATAGAGAAAAAAAAAAATCAAATGGAAAAGTAAATGTAAAAGTTTCTATTTCCAATAAACTGCGTCTCAGAAATCTTGCAGGCGATAAAGACTCGGAAGAACAGAGGGATCTAGCCCCATTCGCATTCTCAGAGGCGTGCGCACTGCGCGGAAAGGATGAATGAATGGAAGACCGGCGCGTGTGAAATGCAGCAGGTCCGGCCGGCAAGCCGACCGGCTACAGCGATCTGTAGGCCTCGCTCCTCCCCCTTCCCTCCTCCATGACAGCCCAGTCCCAAGCATGGAGGGGCGAGGACAATGTGATACCCCTTCTCACCACCACCATCCCTCAATCCACTTGGAGAGCTTCACCGTGACACTCGAGTGTTCTTTCCCACCCCAACCTTTCTCGCCTCCCCTGGCGCAAACACCGGCAACACTCTGGCGCGTTGGATTAACAGGCGCTCGCCCCTCTCAACTCCTCTAAGCGAGGTCGAAGCTCCTCCGCGCGTGCCGCGGAACCACTCCCGCCTAACCCACCCTCCGGCAACACTCGCCCACCAGCTCCACAGTCCACCGGTCTAAGGAAGACGTGCGCGCGCCCCGCACCCGAGCCCCGGGGCTGGGGCTCTGGAGGGAGAGAAAGGCTGCCCCAGGGCTCCCTCCTCCATCTCACTCCAGGCCGGCTCGCCGCCCACCCTGCCTGCGGATCCCAGTGCTCGCTGGGAGCCGGCCCCGCGCCTCCCCATCACGAAGACACCATCCCCACCCAACTAGCCCAGAACCCCAGCTACCCTCCACCCTGTAGACACCTCGCGGCTCCGCAGGAGGCGCCACGCCGCCCCTCCCCCACACCGCTCCCCCAGTTCTCGGGCCCCCACCAAAAAGTGTGCGCTACACGCCGCCTCGGCCAGCCTCCGGGACGTCCCCACTTGTCCGCGGGAGGTCAGGTCCAACATGAGGGGGAGGGGGCGGCAAGGGGTAGAGTGCGCGCCGGGAACGCAGTCCCGCGGAGTCCCCCAGTTAGAAGGGGGACGGAGCGCGGGGACCCGTGGGGGTGGGGGCCAAAGGCAATACTCACCGGTTCGACAGTCGCCATCTTAGATCGATCTGATCGCACAACCGCTCCAGAAGGGGGGGTAAGAGGAAAAAAATGAGATTCAAACCGGATTGGCCAGCTACTAGCCACGTGATGGACGTGTCCGTTTGGCCCTGGCGGCGCCTGCGCAAGACTACGGGTGCGTGGGTAACGAGAGGCTTCTGGGAAGTGGAGTCTCTCCCCCACCTTTTTTTTTTTTTTTTAAGACAAATTTTTTTTAAAAAGGACTGGTCACGTGGCTGATGGGTAGGGTGCGCGGTTCTCAACGCGGCGGACGCTCGCTTGCTGGAGGGTGGTTTCAGTCCTCTGCTCTTCCTCCTGGATAGCTGCGGTCACACTTACTGCCAGGCATGCCTACTGTGCCCTTTGTCGCCCTGTCCTCCCATCTTCCCTGGAAGGTTGGGAACTGCAGGCTCAGCACACACAATAAGGCTTCATTTGCTTAGTTGAGGTCCCAGGACAAGTTGCCTGTGTGTTTATTTAGTTTTCTTTTGACCTCCCACCATTTTCTCTTAGTTTCAAAAAGAGGCGGCGATGCAGAGTCGTTTAGGCAATCAACCCTCCCACGTCCCCTGACTCCGCTAATGCTGGTGGTCATTCGTTGCCATTTCTGCGAAAGGGGACGGACGGAACCGCTCGCAGTACCCGCTTGCCACCAGCTGGATAAGGGGGAGGGGACGACAGCTTTTACTGTCCCAAATCCTGAGATTAAGACCTCAGGGCTAAATCTTGGGTGGCAGTAAAAATTACTTGGAAGTTCTGCGCAACCGTTCCAATATTCTGCTTTAACGTGCACAGAAATAGCCTAAGTCCAGGTGCCAGCCAGGGAAGCCACTCTGGGCCCCGCTGACTAAGCCCTGGACTGATAGTCTGGAGTCGTTAGGCCGGGTCAACTATGCCTCTTGACGTTGACTCATTCTCCTTAGGCGAGTGACTTAGTGGTTCGGCGCCTCAGCTTTTTTATTTATGAAACAAAGGTGATGATACACTTACCTCACAAGGGTGTACTTTGTAATGACTGTAACAGGCTTTGAAAATGCACTGGACTCTAGAAATGATTCATAATAAGCAACCGCGTGCCTTCCTAAAGATCAGCTGCTGCTTCTTTTTTTTGTTTTTTTTTTTTTGTTTTTTTTTTTAAGCAAAGTTTAAATTTTTTTCTTATGTTTACTTTGATTATGATGTACACCAGTGTGGTTTTAAATGATCAGGACCTTTTTTTTTTTTTCCTTTACAACTGCAGCTGCCATCAACAGAGGATTTAATATTAATGAAATTATTGTTATGCTCACAACAGTCACTGGCAATCAGAAACTTGTCCCCACACTGACATCCTACATTTCCTTTCCCTCTAAGATACTGTGCTATCATTTCTCAAGACCATGTTTTTGCACAGTTCGGCTACTAATACAACAAATAGAGATGAAGAAATCTAGCAGATTCCCAAGGTTCTAATGAAGAAGACAATGTCTCATTATTTCCCATGCTTTTAAATAATGTTGACACCAGGAAAAGGAGTATATGCAGGCTTCCTGTGCCTGTCTGCTTATAGTGTTACTGAGGTCCAGAGCTGTGTCATACCTATTATTGAGTACATAATGGATACTTGAGTTGACTAACACATAATTGAGGCTGTATAAGAACTCAAAAGTCATTGCCTGTTCATATGTTTTGGTTTACCTGAATATCAGAAGTAATTAATGAAAGCTTTTGTCTAGTGGGCTTAGCTCTACTAGGTTTTAAAGTAGATAGAATTAACAGGCCAGGCGTAGTGGCTCACACCTGTAATCCCAGCACTTTGGGGGGGCTGAGGCAGGAGGATGACCTGAGGAGTTTGAGACCAGCCTGACCAACATGGTGAAACCCTGTCTCTACTAAAAATACAAAAATCAGTCAGGCATGGTGGCACACGCCTGTAATCTCAGCTACTCAGGAGGCTGAGGCAGGAGAATCACTTGAACCTGGGAGATGGAGGTTGCAGTGAGCTGAGATCCTGCCACTGCACTCCAGCCTAGGTGACACAGCGAGACTCCATCTCCAAAAGAAATATAATAATAATAAACAAATAAGTGGATTTCTACTTACAGAGACTATCTACTGTTACTTAGACTATCCAAAACAATGCCGTTGATCGCATTGTTATCTTCTGCTGGTTAAAAGTGGTGTCAGGTTACCTTCTTTGAAGAGAAAAAGACAGCATAGGTGTCCTATTTTCTCCTTCCCTTCCTTTTCCCTCCCCTCCCCTCTCCTCCCCCTCCCTCATTCCCTCCCTCCCTCCCTCCTTTCCTCCTTCCTTCCTTCCTTTCTTTCTTTCTTTCTCTCTCCGTCTTTCTTTCTTTCTTTCTTTCTTTCTTTCTTTCTTTCTTTCTTTCTTTCTTTCTTTCTTTCTTTCTCTTTCTTTCTTTCTTTCTTTCTTTCTTTCTTTTTCTTCTTTTCTTTCTTTCTTTTTCTTTCTTTCTTTCTTTCTGGGTGTTGCTCTGTTACCCAGGCTGGACTGCAGCCTTGACCTTCTAGATTCAAGGGATCCTCCCACCTTAGCTTCCCAAATAGCTAGGCATGGGCCACCATGGCTAGCTAATTTTTTTATTTTTTTGCAGAGACAGGGGGTCTAGCTGTGTTCCCCAGGCTGGTCACAAACTCCTGGGCTCAAGTGGTCCCCCTACCTGGGCCTCCCAAAGTGCTGGGATTGCAGGCATGAGCCACCATTCCTGGCCAGATGTCTTATTTTCATGAAGCTGTTATATAACAGAAGAAAATCAATGAGATTAGCAAGGAAATACCTATAGGATTGAAAGCTAGTGATGTTCTTAAAACTTTTTTTAAACAACAGTTTCCATTTTTATTAAGTTTTCTGTTGACCAAAAAACTCCCTCTTGTCAATCAAGACTCATACTTTTACAATATTTATGGATGCTCTATTCTTTATGATTTAGTTTATTTCCATTTTTAAATAGTTTTTAACAATTTTTCTTTATTTTTTTCAAGCACAGAGTTTCAGGAAAATCTCCATTTTTGTATATACTTTGTTGCATGTGTTTTATGACCATTAATGTGTCTTTGCCTATTTGAGATTCTACCATGTCAAAGATTTAACGATTAGGTTTTTATATATGCGTGTATGTGGTTGTTTTGTTTTGTTTTTGCCAATCTTAAATATACAGAGCTGAAATTGTATGTTTTATTTCTCTATTTATTCTCCATTATTCTTTATTGGTCTTCAAAAGGACTTGTAATTCCAAGTTCATTTACAAAACTGACCAGAAACCATCCAATAAGCACTAAGTTAGTAATGGGAACTATGTAACCAGTGGAGGATATTCAAAGGACACAGGAAGTACAGGCACTTCCTTCCCTGACTGTAAAATCTGGTTGGTGTACTAAGTCATAGAAATATAAATAGTTCAGTACCCATATAAAGAAGTGTGACTAAGAACTAAAAGGATGCAGTTAGCAAGCACCACAGCCAGCACACATTCACATAATGAATGGGAGAGTCACATACTTCCTTCCCTCATTTCATCCAGGCCTCTGTTCCAATGTGATCTCCTGAAGGAGGACTTCCTTGATCACCCTATCTAAATTACTGTTTCCATTACTCTTTATCCCCTTACTCTGCTTTGGTTTTCTTTAGGCCAGTTCATACCCCTAACTCTAAACTTGCTGTTAAACATTATTTAATTAGTTGTTGATTGCCTCTACTACTAAAATATTAGCTCATTGATGGTTGTAGATAGATTGCTATCAAATATTTGGGGAAAACTCAAACATAATTTTTTTCTTTTCCGCTGGGATGGAGTCTCACTCTGTTGCCCAGGCTGGAGTGCAGTGGCACGATGTTGGCTCACTGCAACCTCTGCCTCCTGAGTTCAAGCCATCCTCCTGCCTCAGCCTCCCAAATAGCTGGGACTACAGGTGTGTGCCACCACACCTGGCTAACTTTTGTATTTTTAGTAGAGACAGGGTTTCGCTATGTTGGCCAGGCTGGTCTCAAACTCCTGACCTCAGGTGTTCTGCCCGCCTTGGCCTCCCAAAGTGCTGGGATTACAGGCGTGAGCTACCAGGCACCTGGTCAAATGTAATTGTTTTTAAATATTAGTCTCAGAACTAATAATGGAACTAGTAGGAAAATTACTATATGCTAGTTGCTGTGTTAAGTCATTTACATGCACTTATAGTACCTCATTGTATCTTCAAAACAGTATTTTGAGGTAGATATACTTATTTTTCAGATAAGGAAACTGAAGCTTAAAAAACTTAAATAACTTTCACAAAAACACAATTCTATCGTTGGAGCTCTTAACCACTATATATTATTAACTAGATGGTAATTGGACCCTATAATAAGAAAGATCATTGAAACAGAAAGAAATAATCTGCAAAGTATGTGAAAAATTTATGTAGGTAGTGTGTTGAGCCAACAACAAGATACTTATCAAAAGGAATTTATCTTATAAAACTGAAATTCTGAAAAAATAAAATATATGGGATAAATCGACAGTCTTTAAAAATAACTCAAGGCTGGGTATGGTGTCTTATACCTGTAATGCCAGCACTTTGGGAGGCCGAGGCTGGAAGATAACTTGAAGCCAGGAGTTCAGGATGAGCCTGGGCAACATGGTGAGACATCGTCTCTACAAAAAATAAAAAGCAATTAGCCAGGCATGGTGGCACATGTCTATAGTCCTCGTTACCTGGGAGGCTGAGATGGGAGGATTGCGCCATCCCAGGAGATCAAAGCTGCAATGAGCTACGATCGTGCCACTGCACTCCACCCTGGGTAAGAAAGCAAGACTGTGTCTCAAAGAAAGAAATATGTTAATAGGTGGGAGTTGGCTGCTTGACATCTATAAAAGAGCAACCTAGAATGATAATATTTGGTAATCCATCTCCAGCATTGTCCCAGGGACAGGGTGCCTTGGCACAAAAATATGAATCTCTGGTCCATTGGACTTTGTTGGGGTTGGTTGCTTGAGGACACAAACCGTACGACTAATTCACCTTGTTTGACTTCCAGATTCATCAAGCAACCATATGATAAACATATCTTCCCATATTGGTTTACATGTAGGGCTGATCAGAAAATATAACTATCCAGACCACAATAGTTACATTGCTCAGAGTCCATTTTAAAAATGGTATTCGTTTTTCTGCTTTGTTGGCTTGTCATAATTACCCTCTATGAGTTTGGCTAAGGGAAAGATACCCCTCTGGACTGGATTTTCTCTGAGTCCTGAGACTGTGATGATTCTCAAGGAAATGCTATCCTATAGGTATTGTCTGGGTAACTGACCATCCTTCCCCAGGAATTGCCATGAGCCTCTCTTTGTACTCCAACTATATCACTGGAGACCTGTGAATTAGGAACTCTTTTAAAATATAGTTTAAATGGGGTCTTGCTCAGTCACCCAGGCTGGAGTGCAGTGGCATGATCATAACTCACTGCAGCATTGTACTCATGGGTTCGAAAGATCTTCCCACCTCAGCTTTCCAAGTAGCTGGGGCTACAAGGCATGTGCCACCACACCTGTCTAACTTTTAAATTGTTTTCATAGAGACAAGGCCTCTCTATATTGTCCAGGCTGGTGTCAAACTCCTGGCCTCAAGTGATTCTCCTTCCTCAGCCCCTAAAAGTGCTGGTATTACAGGTGTGAGCCACCATGCTCAGCCTTAATGTATTTTAATAGCAAACTTACAGGAACTGCACAAAAGACAGACACCGTTAAAAACATGTACTTGCTGTAGGACAACCCAGAAAAGTATAGTGAATGGATAGAATCTATTGAATGATAAAAACTATAGATATCATTTAGTTGCCATCAATAATAAATTTACTTATTTTTATAAAATTCAGATACTAGCATTTAACAGGTTTCTTTTTAATTGTTATAAACTACTGAAACTTGCTCACTGAAATATTTGACCTGCATTAATGATTAATGTTTCATTTAAACACTATTTTCTTTTCTTTTTTTGAGACAAAGTGTCACTCTGTCGCCTAAGCTGGAGTGCAGTGGTGCAATCTCGGCTCACTCCGCCTCCTGGATTCAAGCAATACTCCTGCCTCAGCCTACTGAGTAGCTTGGACTACAGGCGTGCACCACCACGCCCGGCTAATTTTTGTATTTTTAGTACAAATGGCCAGCCTGGTCTCGAACTCCTGACATCGTGATCCACCTGCCTCGGCCTCCCAAAGTGCTGGGATTACAGGCGTGAGCCACTGTGAACCCTTATTTTAATGTTACAGTTTGAGAGATACCAATTCCCATTACCTACTCAGGACATTGCTTAAAAACACGGGATGTACTCAAACATGACCAAGGAATCTTGAAAATTAAAAGATTGGAGCAAAATTGGAATGTAAAAAATTATTTTATTATTCTAGTTAGTTTTTTGTTTACTCTTTCCTTGGTGATTTTTATGAGACTGAAGCACCACCTACTGCCTAATAAGGCACCCTGGGTTTTTTTTTTGTTTTTTGTTTTTGTTTTTGTTTTTGTTTTTGAGACAGAGTCTCGCTCTGTCACCCAGGCTGGAATGCAG